AAACGAAGAACAGCGGACCACTAGGCACCAGGGGCGCCACAGCGAAAGTAGTTCGACCGGTGGTCCGGTAAAGTACAATCTTACCAAAAAAAACAAGAACAGAAAAGGAACTTACTCGGCTGGAGAGATTTTTCCCGTCTCCAAGCTCAGGGCTCGAGCTGCTGCCCCTCTCCTGTCTCTCTGACACTCTACACACTCCACCATCAAAGTCCTGGCCGGCATCTGCCGGGGGACCAGAAATGACGTCACTCTGGCTTGAGAGTCTAGAATACTTCCGTTCTGGTGGTTTTACGTCATCATCCACCTCTTGTCCAACGGTTTTCCCTCCAACATCACCAACAGTAACCAAGTTCTCCTGTTTTATCTGAGTTTTCAAACTCCAGCCTTCTGTCTTCACGTCATGACTGAAGTCATCACCACCACCACCACCAGTAGCACCAGCGGTAGTCGTCACGTGACCCGTTAAGCCACGCCCCTTATCGTACTTCGTCGTCGTCGTATTATCGTTGCAATCTTTCAGGGCGGTTTTATCGAGCGGGCGAGCTTTCTGATTGGGACTGTCGGGCCAAGTCTTCTCCAAGTCATCGAGAAGCGCCTCTGTGTCCTTGGAGTCTAGGTCGTACTCCAAGAGGCACTTCTTGATGGTCTTGTCGATAAACACCTCCAGGTCTGGGATGCAATACATGAATTCCATCATCGATCGCCCCTCGGCTTTGGTGGACACTTTTTCCTCCTTCTTCTTCTTCTTCCTTTTCTTCTCGTCAGCGAGGTGCTCACTGACGAATTTCGCGGCGAAAGAAGAGAAAGGCCACTCTTGTAAGCGGACGATTCGCTCTTTTTTGCGTGTCAGCACAAAGTGCTCATCTTGTAAGAAGAGAGACTTGAAAAAGTTCATGAAGATTGGTGGCTGCCGTGTACAGAGCGAGAACGGGGAAGATGTAAGAACGGGGGTAAAAGAAAACAGAAAAACTGTTTCCCGCTGTAGATTTCATCTGACCAGAACGGGATACCACGGGAAAAAAGTAGGCCTGAGCTCTTGTTGTAACAAAGAACGTTGTTATAATTTCCTTTCCAAGTGCTGTAATCGTAATAATACTGAGACGAACAGATTCACCAGGAGCGTGTCTCTTCGTCTGTAGCTTTCACTTGATCAGTTCTGAAACAAAGGCAAAAATACAAATGAATAAATAAATAAATAGATAAATATATGATATCAGAGACGAATTATTAATAATTATAATTGATAATGCGCAGACACTTGGGTGTGCCAGTCACTAATTACTAATAGTGACGGGGAGAAACTGTTACCTTTCCTGACCGACAAATAATAAAATAATTAAATCCCTTTTCTATAGTATTATTTTCTTTTTGTTTTCGTTTGGGGGGGGCATTTTTGTTTTGGTTTATTTTTTTATTTTTTTTTTTCAAGAGTCAGACCTATCTGTAACAGACATCAGTCTGTTATCATATCATGATTCGCCACACTTTTCTACGCTCTGACGCTTTCAAAATTTTATTATAATATCAATTATTCAATCCCGCTTTACATAGCAATACAAATTAACTGTTTTTTAAATGACAGCCGCTATAACATTACGGAAAGTGATCCGTAACCTGGAGGGGTGAAAAAGGCGCAATGACAGCATAAAATGGGGAGCAGGTGGCACAGAGGAATCCGAAACGCATAAAGATCATGTCCCAGTGGCGTGTAATATTTGTAACTTTGATCGCAATGCTTTTGCATAAAATACAAATCTAAAAGGACTTTGCTCAGATACAGGCACGTGTGTGTGAGTGTGAGAGGGGGGGG